ATGTATGTACCAAATGCGCTGTCCGATGCTGTATATCACATTCCATTCGAGATCTTTCCTGCCTAGTGCTCACTGTATGAAATATCCCCATTAAAAACAATTATTTTATTGTACAAAGGTTCCAATTGTGTGGTTAATAAATGTATTTATTACATGTTCTGGTGTTGTTTTTAAAACCTACGTTTATGACTCTTAACAGGAAAATAAGGGGCAGATTTATAGCCATTTAATTATCCCTAAACACTGTACGATAAAGAGCTCAGTTGAGGCAAATGAGAGAACAGTAATATAGGCAACAATTGTTTTTGTTTTGGATGAATTACAAAAATTTTGTAGAGTTGATAAGTACAACCTATGGTTTCCCAGGGTTGCGAACGATCTTGCGGGTTACCGGGGCTCCGGTTCAAAGTAGGGGTAAAACCGGGGCAAATTAGGGGCAAGCAAAGTAGTTTATAGTCTGTAAGAGTCTGATACTTCGCCTACCCCAAAGAGGAAGAAGATATTTGATGACTGTCCCTCCTCAATAAAAGAATCAGTAAGGTCGTTTGCAAATTGTTTTGATTTTTAAATTGGAATTTTACTCCATGTTTTTTAACTATAACGAATGCTCCTTATAGGCCCGTGTATGAGCTCGAATAATATTAATATTTTATTAAATAGATTACGGGCCCACTAAACCACACTGCCATTAGACAATAGTCGATTGGAAGGGAAAATTAATGACCATTTCCTGTTGGTTGCTAACCGTATGCGCGTGAGCAAGGATATAGACAATGGTAACCTAACCTCTCTAAGGATTCAAGGGATAGGTTATATTAATAGGTTTTTTTTTCAAAAGTCTTCGTCCCTTAGCCACTTCATTTTGGCTTGAGATTAGTAACAAGATAATGTTTTCAACAAAACAGAGATAGGCACCTTCTGACCTATATTATCTAAGTATAATACTTATTTAAATGTTTTCGTTTAATTACACGTCTTATGCTGTATGTTATTGCGAAATAGGGTAATCACCTATGTTATTACATTACAGGGACCAAGAACAAAGGGTTAGTCACCTACAGTAAAATAGGTAGGTACTATTTTATGCGTCCGCGCATGAATTGGGATTTTGGTTCTCTCCAGTTTATAATAATAACACGATGGAAAGTGTAAAGAAGAAATAAATTAATAAAAATTTGGGATTTAATAAGGTAACAGGCTGTAACTACATACATACATATTTCAGAGATCGAAAAGTTGTTCTTTCGTAAAGAAAATTACGTTTAACGGAAGAGAAAATCGTACATAAAAAACACTACTCACCTTTCCAATCCAAAGGCGGTGCTAAAATTGCCTTATTAAAGTGTGGAACAACGGCTCTTCTAATCACATTTATAATAATGAACTTCAAGTTCGATCCCATGTAGTAATCCATGGCTAACACTGTTGCGTACGCGCCGATGACGGCACAGCACAGAATGTTAGCCGCGTAAGACACGGAGACGACCGCTAGAGCCGTCAGCATCACCACCAGGACGAAAAGACTCCAGAAATTAAAGTCTAATTCCAGGAACAATTGGTGACCTACAATTTTGTATATGGTTAAAAATTTTACACGTCATCATTTTTGTAAAGAGAAGACTCAATGAGTGATCAATCGGAAGCAACACAAACCTATCTATTAACTTATAGCTTTTATACGCAGCTTAAATTGTGCTTCTCTTTACTCCATCCCAATTGTGAGTGAGTGTGAGATTGCCGGAGACCCCATTGCCCCCCATCTCCCAATTCTCGAATCCCCAATAACATTCAAATTTCTAATCCCCAAAAAGCCGGCAACGCATTTGTAACGATGGTTTACTCCTCTATGTGTCTACTATTCCTCCTCTGGTTTTACGGGAGTTCACGGCCGGCGCCAATTAATTACCATCAGGTGATCCTACTCGTTTACCGGCTAATACCAAAAAAAAATTATACGTAGACAAAGTTTCAAGAAGGCTAATTGAGACGCCTAAAGATACAAACACACAAACTAAATTAACCCAGCATAAGCTGCCCCCTAATACAAATCCACGAGTAATACACCTAAGAAAAAATACACCAATTCAATTATTACAATCAACTCACCTGGAAGTCTGTAATAGAATATCGAAGCAAGCAAGAATCCAAGGTTCAAAGACGGTAACAGTACTGCGAGTACAGGTATGCCGTATAACCACCAGAACAGCCACCATATCCCTCCGAAGAACACGCCAGAAATCGTTGCAGCTGCTAATAATGCTAAAACAATTTCAAGGTCAATTAATGAAACTATGGTCATCATGATGGACAACAGAGCGCTTACTCTTGAAACCAATCTCAATGCCAATGCAATTTCAATACAATAATTCAATCTCAAAACTATACAACCACTATCGTAGCTGTTTAAATAGCATTCAGAGTACGGAATATAAAGCCAAACTCAATACCATTAAGGGCCAATTTTTCAATGCTCAGATAAATTTTAACAGTACGAAATTTCACAATATTAATGTCGATCGATCGAAATTGGATTCAAGAGTAAGCCCCTGAATTGTGAAAATTTACTGTTGGACTATGAGTGTCCTATACAAAAAAGGGTTTGCCACAGCTTCCACGCTTGGCAAAAAGGTTGGAACTGTCACTTATAACAACCCATACCCAACAGTCCTTTGTTTGATTTAAAAAAAAAACAAATCAAACATCGAACTTCGGTTGGCTGATAGTCGAACCCGAGGAAACTTCAACTAAACTTAAAACAGGTTGAAAAGTGTAGCAAATCAATTTATGCAAAAAACCTTGTTTCCATCTTAATGCACGATCTATTATCATGCGCACGAGTTCTTTTAAGTGGCGTGCTTCACTTAAATTCATATGTTTAGTATTTATATTTAGCACAGAGCAACTAATAATAAACTAATTATTTATTATTACCTGGTTTATCAACTACAGTAATTAAGGCTATTAAAATATAAGTTATGATGACGCCGGTAAAGAACCCAGCGAAAAACATTTCGGTCTTGAAGAAACGATGTCCAAAGAAACATATAAAAACTCCAATAAACATTAATGTAGCACATAGTAGTTGGGATAGCCAGTCATCTGTAAAACATATACAAAATATAATATCACATTTATCTGTCAAAAAAAAAAGTAGTTACAATCATTCCTAGACAACATTTTGCTAATGGAGAATTTCAAACACTTGGCCTTGTGCCCATCATTGTATCAGCCACGACACATTGAGACATCCACTACTGCACTTAGGTCTCCCCTAATGACTTTCAGATCGTTCGATTGGAAGCGACTTGCATGCAATAGCTCACTGCGATCTTTTTATCAGCCTTGCAGGTCTTGAGTTGCGCTTGTCAGTACATTACATGGTCTTCATTCCAGAAATTTTCTACCTTTCACTCATGAGTTTGCTTGAAGAACAAACAAACTGCTAAATATGATTTCACATAAATACCTAAAGATTTAGATTTGGGTAGATAGAAAACTTGATTTAAGCGCGAAGTCGTAACTTACCAATCATTTCGCAGCCATAATCACTTACGTCATTGCAACCATAACTATAGCTTGGTACGTAGATGGAGTATTCTGAGGTATTATCAACCCTTGTCGCTACTACTGTGTATATTGCACCAGTGCCAGGGTAAGCACTCAACATACGGCGCGTCTCCGGCCAGGAACTTTTCGGAATCTTAGGGAGAAACGTCAAAGTAAAAAATATGATATAAATAGGTTTCTCTGTGTTGAATTTAGACCCTAAAAGAAATATTTTAAGTAGGTCGTATTTAAAATATATCATCAAAAATAAAAGAGCTAAATATGTACCAGCCTAGCTGGACACCATCAAGTTTTATGGCCAAGGTAAACTACTTAATGGAACCCAAGAATTTGCACGTTATCTGCAAATTAGCATAAATAGAAAACTTAAACTTGAATATAATCAAGATAACTCCAAAAATAGCAACAGATAGAAATCAGATAGACCAAGATTTGTCTGCTTACTCGGTAACCATATTTCTTAATATTCTTGAGGCTCATCATCTTCCTGATGCCATCAAAGTAGACATCAGCGTAGAAATTCATTTCGGGTAGATACATCATGTAAAAAGACATGTTCGCTTGCATTGTAATTGAGCAATCAGGGTCTACTGATGGCGGTGCTGCATCCACAAAAATATAGTCGCTGTATGTCATTACATTCAGATAAGGAGTCACTGGTATTGGGAACTCCATGTTGCATCCACCTGGGATAGGTTCTGAAACAATCGTAACTGGTTTATGAAGGTACCTAGTTATTCAAGAGACTACACTAGAGTTAATCCATAGCAATTTGTTTGTGTCTGCGTGTCCACCACTAAGAAGCTGCCATTGGTCGTATCTCCTCAGTTTCCAGCTTTTTCACGGCCGTATCCAGGGGCGTAAGATACGAATCGTTAACTGCAGGGTTGCTTTAAACGGACTGGATCCCCTCGCATGCGTAGAGTCGTAGGTGTAGGGTCGTTATGCATCTTCAATCGCTTATATCATGGGGACGGGGAGTGCTCCGCTGGCAATACACTCGTCACTCCTCTGGTGTTGCGGGTCCGCGGACGGGCGCGAGCGGCGCTTACCGTCAGCTGATCTGTCTGGTCGTTTGCCCACTAATTCATTAAAAAATGTAATTTATTTCGCGGCCAAGATGTGACGGCCGGAATTCTATTTTGGTCATCAAATCTGTGGTTTGATCTTAATAATGTATGCAGATTATGTTATGCATAGTGCGTCAAAGAATAAAAACCTGTATTATATCGTCAGTCATAATATTTTGTGTTATATTAATGTAACGTAAACCTTATGACATTTAACTAGTGAATGATACCAATCAGTCTTGTTACATGAGTAGTAACAAGTAGCTGCTCAAAAATTGTTTCACTTCCTACTTGATAATTTTTATTCATACCTACTAATATTATGTTATGATAATAATATCCAAGGTCTTTGAAAAAAATAGCAGACATAATGTAACTTAGAAATAATTGAAGCACAAAAATGTCAGTGGTTTTTTATGTGTGCATCTTTAATGGGTTACCACATTACCAGACTTAAAACAATAATAGATGTCCTTTGTGTCAATGTGTGTGTGTACTGCATGTAAGTCTATTGCTGGAATACTGAAACGTTACTCAATTTTAAGTCGTTCTCAAATATCATGCCATCTCTGTCATTTCACAAAGAATTTGTAGAGATAGAACTATACTTAAGCGCGAAAATAGATAGAACTATACTTAAAATTGAGTAACCTTTCAGTATTCCGGCATATAGTAACCAAGTGCCACAGTCATTGTTTCAAGAGACTATATCCGCCTATTTTTTAGCGTCCTCGATAGTATCTTATATTATTAAATGGGTATTAAATTACTTAAACTCAATTCACATGGGAGCCTACTGTTTTTTTTGCAAAACAATAATAATATAGTCTGTAATCAAATAGGTAGAAACATTTTGATAAAAACTTTATCTTCAATCTGATCCGATATCAAAGCTAACAAATTTCTAACATAATATTATTCAAAGTATCTGTATAAGCCAAGTTTGAGTTTAGTTGTGTCACTACAAATTCGTTGTAAAAGGACATAGGTAGCAATAGAGCTACCTAGTTGTGCTTAAATATAGATTTAAAAACAACTTAAAATTGAGTGACCTTTCAGTATTGGGGCATAAATACAAAATGTATCAAGTAAATCATTGAATATTACATTGATATATCATACCCAAAATTTGTAAATACACAAATAGTCTCTAAACATCAGAAATAAGGTCTATAATGGAGTTAGTCAAGAGTGGTCACTGGTGACCGCTTGGGGATTGAACAGTTAACAGCTCAGTTTTGTCAACATTCAGACTCCAATCAAATAAACAAAATATTGGACAACAAAGCCACTTATGGGCACACAATCATTAAAAAAATTAGAAGAGTCTATCATGTAAACATTAACATTTTTAGAGAATAAGATGCCTGTTTATTATTGGTAATTTAACCCCTTGGAAATTGTTGAAAATCATCCCCTAAATTTGTTCTAACTAAAGTAGTCTCTAAACATTGGAAATAAGGTCTACAATGTACTAAATACATTGAGAGAGTGGTCACCGGTGACCACTTGGGGATATACAGTTTAAAAGAATTGTTTAGATATACATACACAATGGAATTCAGACTAACTATACTACCTCATTTCCAGCATAAAGAGACCTCCCACTATGTAGTATTTTAATATGATAAGAAGTCATCTTGCAGTTGGTAATAGCACAGAAGATTATGTGGATTCAATGCATTTTGAATGTTAAAATTAATTGAAAAATAAATTTGTTTTGAATTGTTACATTTTTATACATATTATGTACTAGCTAGTATTTTTTGGTTATTTGCAAAGGACAAGGTGACAGTGTATGATTTAATTTTAAAGTGTATAAATAAGTACATTACTTTGAAATGAAATCACATATAGTTACATCTAGAACAAGAAGTCCATAATTAATTAAATAAAATAATTACTGTAAAACAACTTACCCATTTTGAAATATCCATGGACGGAAATATAAACACGGACAGTGACATTGCTATTAAAATTAGATACAATAAATGTGTTTACAGGACTCATATAACTCACTAAACCAAGATTAGTGCCTGTAACAGTCTGATTGCCTTGTTCCGCATCACTTGTATACAGGGTGATATTATTTATGTGACTATGAGCTTGAAAAACTATAAACGTAAGATTCTTATTGACATCAGTAAAATTAATTGTAACTCTTGATATGCCATTTAATGTAATAAAACCTCCGTATATTTCCCTGTTGTCATATGTTATTGAGCTGTTTAAAGGTATAGTTATGCTGCCATCTGAAACAAATATTTTAATTAATTTTATTTATGTAAATGTCAGTGGGTCGTCTTAGGGGCGGAAAAATCATTGGGTATTTATTTAGTGTTTTATGCTGAATATCCATTGCGATTTCCGGTAAGGACAGTAATTAGAATATAAATTGCCAAAATACCTTACAAAACTATTTATTAACATTTATAAGATACTGTTTAAAACAATCTACTAGAAGGTATTCCAATAAGATAGCCAGATAGCGGCATTTTGTCTGGATTAAAGTATTTAAGCATTAAAATATAATTTACCTTGTGCAGCAACAGAATTAAGAAAATAAATTAATGACACTATCACTAAAAGAAGTCTATCACCCAATAAAGAATGCATTTTCACTTATCGATACCAGAAATGTAATAAAAACGTTATCACTGATATTGAAACACAATAGCGAAAGTTTTGATCTCTTCCAATTAGAGCATAAATAATTCGTAACAGCTGATCATTTTGACACTTGACAAGATCACAACTGCTTGCAAAAAACACTATTAGCTGAAGATTGTAGGGACATTGAACTACACTGTGATAATAAATGACACCACAATGAAATTATTCACATTTTGTCCCTATGATAGCGCGTTCATAATACACAATCGGCAAGGAAAAAGTCGGCAAACGAACAAAACAAGTCAGCCCAATGACAGCTTCCTATCAGAAACAATGACAATGACATAGAGCGAATGAAATGAACAAGTTTAACCTAGTTTTAAAATCATTCGATCACGCAAGGAATGAGTTGTAACAGATAAAATAAAAAATATTTCACACCTGATTTTTTTAAATTTTTGTGCAAATATAACCTAAAGATTCGTAAGTAATGATTTGAATATTATTATTTCCTTATTATGATGTGAGCACATGTAACTGATCTCATTATAACTTTCACTAAAAATATCTTCTGGTTGGAATCATTTTGTGAAATAAAGTTTTCCCACTTCTTCCCACAATGAAGTAAAACAATTTTTTTAGTAGTACTTACGATGTACTGTGTTACTGTATTAGAAAGTGTGATGCCAAACAAATGAAAATTTACGTTAGATCTCTCTCTTATCATGCTTTTCAACAAAAACTAGTTGAGTTTATTAACTAAACTTGTTAAAGTCAAGATGAGGCTGTTTTTATTCCATTTAGTGATTTTATATCGAAATTGAGTTCGTATTAATTATTACAAGGAATTAGTCATATTACATTCCAAAATTAATGAATATTATTGTAATTTAAACAACATTTAATTCGCCCTGGTTTGTAGCAGTACGCGGCTCATGACATGACTGTTCACTGTGTTCGTTTCATTCTCGATATCGATTCCTTCGCAGGCCGCTAGAGCGCACTCACGTCAAAATTCTCAAATATGGCGGCGCGATCAATGAAGTTGTAATGTGTAGTGAGTGAAGTCTAGTGTAAAAATTGAAATGTTTAATTTTGGTGTTGTTTTTGTGTGTGGTTGTTAACGTTAATGGGCCATGGGAAGGGGCCAGGAGCTTTTAAACGCCGCCCGCGAAGGCGACAAGCGGACAGTGGAAAAAATACTTGGCCAAATAACTAATATAAGTGGTCCATTTACAAGGTGGGTCCTGAATCATGTTTTATTGTTTAACTAGTAGATTAGTGGAGTTAAATCTGTTGTAGACGTACTAAGTCGTTACAGTAATATAATTCTTTGTTTTAACAATAGGAAAAATGGTTAAAAAATTGTTATCTTTGTATCAACAATGGTGTATTGTTATCACAATTTTATAATGTTTACGTGCTTATCGCAGTTTCATGACAGATGATGGTTTCATAAACGCTATATAAAATCATTAAGGCATGTTTAATGTCCACTGGAACACTGGTACTGGTCAATGGTCATCAGTAACATATTCATCTATAGTTATACAATAAGTAAATTACCTACTTCAGTAACTAATTCGAATTTGTCGATACGATTTTATTGCAAAAAATCGATCCTAAGATCTATTACAACTGATTAAGGTTGATAATTGCATGTTAGTCATACATGTTAGTTTGGGTTGGGATTTGGTGTATTATCTTTTGAAGATAAAAATGTAATCTTAAAAGATAAAATGTTTTATGGAATTGTTCAGCAAGTACAGGCCATGCCCATTTTACTTGCAGATATTGTGCTAAATTGTATATTTGTCAGCAATTTATTATTCCTGGATAGGTGTGGGTATGAAATTAAACATTAGTTTCTTCCCTACAAAGAAACAAATTGAATGAATTGAAACTTGGAAGTCCAATAATAATAATACTTCTTAGTGATGTAGTAAACTAGTTTTGTGTGGTAAGAATGACTTATTCACTACTAAGATAAATGTCCATAGATTTTCCTTAAACTGGTTAGCTTGACTCAAGACCAGTTGTTTGTTATTTTTATTATAAAAAACCCACATTATTACTTCAATAGTCTTATTTCCACACCAGTTTAATGAAAAATAATTTAAAAAACTTAATACTGATGTTATATAAACAAAATCATTTATTTGCTGAGCTTAACTTTTTTTAGGTAACACATGCTAAACTAGGTAAATAAATAAATTACATGTGACCAATAATTTTTACAGAAACATTGTTTACAACAATGGATGTGGCAAAAGGTCCGAAAAAAAATGAAACATTTAATTTTGTGATCATAAGGTGTGTTAGAACTAGCCAGGAAGTTCCTCTCGCCTATCAGAATTTATGTCTTTCGAAACCAATTTAAGTATAATTTTTGTTTATTAACAAATTTATATAAATAAAAGTCAATTCCCGTTCGTTAGTCTCGCTAAAATTCGAGAATGGCTGAATCGATTTGGGTAATTTTGGTCTTGAAATGTTTGTGGAAGTCCAGGGAAGGTTTAAAAGGTGAGAAAAAACATTAATAGAAAAACATATAAAAAACATAAATAGGATATTAAGGACTCATATACTTATATCATACTTGTATATGCTTTAGCAGTGTTTTGATCATAAACATAAAATACTGGTCTACACATTTTGTAACTTTTAGCTAAATTAAACATGTCATAGTCCGTTAGTTAAACAATGTACAGGTAAATTAATATTTTACCTGTTGAATGCTGTATGTATGTACAACTTAAAAGGTAATTGTCAGATATTTTATCTATTAGTTACTATTAATAGTTAAATAACAAACTAATCATCCAATCCCAAATATACTAGATCAATATTACCTATACCTGTTTGCCTGTCCTGCCATAAGTGAATGTAGGAATACCCATTTTATATGACATGTGAAATGGGTATTTCTATTTACCTACCTATGGCTGAATTTAGTTTGAAGTTTTACCTATTTATTTTTTTACTGTTGGTTGCGGAAGCTTCGCTACAGAGGGAATAGATTCCGATGTTCCGAAGCGGACTTTGGCTGATATTGTAATTTAAGTATATTTATAATCATATTTATGTAGTAGAAGAATTAAATTAAATTTAATTAATATTTTATTAAATGTTAGACTATATTCTGGTCATTGCTTTAAAGCATGAACAGTTTTCTGTATTAGAAAGTAATTTTTGGCATTATTTTTAATTTTAGTCAGGTGATTTAATAAATCCCAATCTAGTCTGCTTATATTTTTCACCACATTTAAGCAGCCCTTTCTAAATCCCTATCCCAAGCAACTGGTTTTTAACTCGTCGAGTACCGGTTTTATAGACACAATTATAGAACAATAGGTTGCGGTCACTGGTGACCGCTTGGTGCTTGACAGTTTAATTAAATTTCAACTTTCATTTAGGTAACTTAATAATAAGTCATAAAACTAACTACAAATAAACTCCATGTGTCATGTAAGATGTTGTTTAATCTTAGTAATATGTAATGAATGAGTAGTAATAGTATATTTATGTAATTCTTATTATTACATATCATAATAATATGACTTAGTTGTTTTAAGATAAGATCTGAGTAACTACTTAAAATAGTAAGTAATTTTTATCAAATATTTATTATACTTTACATGAAAAGCACTTTATGTCTGGATGTTACACGAATGCGACAAAGAACTTAGTATCGGTATGGAATATTGAATAGGTATTTCGGTTTTACTTTCCACATTCTTAACACAGGTACCCATATATTTTTTTTAAAGATACCGAATGCTCGGCATTAGGTACTTAAAAGTTCTCAAAATATTTTTACCTTATCCTGTGTCTACCTAAATGACTTGTTAACTGTACCCTAAAGATAAGCTACATTTTTGCCGTAAAAATGTAACTATGGCGCTTAATGGCTGTTTACTTTCCACTTTAAAGGTAGACAGACCATTTCGCATTTATTTGCGCACAGATAAAATTGAAATTGATAAATAATAACTAGGTACCTAGTAATTTCCACTGTTATGGAAGATCGGAATAATCGACGAATATTAAAACCGAATTTTATTCCTTTTTTTGAGGATGCAAAATCAACATTTAACTAAGTCACCGTTTTTTTAAAGGGGGGAAATCATCGAATGATTTCTCCCGCCTGGTTGAGGCGGAATGGAGAGTCAAACACCTATTGACTATAAACCACCCCATTCTTATTCCTGGCCACCACTTCGAGCTGGAGCCCGGTAACCTTTTACGTTGATGATGACCACCCTCTGGGACAGTTAGACTGGCGACAAAAGTATTCTGCTCTGTCGTCATCTTGATACACGGTTTGACTCCCATGATGGAAATCCCTTAATGGACTCAAATCCAGCTGTGTTTAACGGTTCATGATAAAATAGTCAGAGAATAAATAATCAAAAATCATGTACACACGTTATCTATTTAAGGAAGTAGGATAAGTCAAACCATTAAAGTGAAGTGTTTGGCGGTTGGCCAGACGCCAATCGATGTTTGAGAAACGTACGTTGAACTTTTGTCTTACCGCCTGTCTGTACTCTGTATCAAACGCTGTAGGATTAGGGATGGCAGGTCGAAAACAAGAAAGTTTTATGAAAAATTACCTACCTACATTAACTCTGATTTTGGTAGCAAATGGTGCCCAAAAACTTAAAGACGAAGTTGCACAATATAAAACCAATTAAGAATTTAATTGGACTTCTAAGTTTTGTAAGTTAATTTTGTACTGAATATTGAAACTGAATTAGGTAACTGCCTACTTACTAGTAGCCTTTAACTTTTTCGCTTATCACTACAGGGGATCAGAAATTAACAATGGTGGACCATTGTACCCTGACAACCCTATGTTCAAGGTGTTTGTATGCAAAACACTTCAACCGGACACTGCAAGTTTGGCAGGCAATAAAAATGCGCTCAAAACTGCACTTAGAACATGTGCAAAATAAGCGGACAATAGTCTAACATCCATGGTCTGCAACTTGTAATTTTAGCTTCCTTTACAACCAAATATAACCAACTACCGTTGGGTGGCCTCATAGTTAAAGGTACTGGATAAAATTGTAAATCATTCAGTGAATAAAAATTATATCATTAATATCTTAGACAATTTGCATATTGAGAATCAACTTATTATTATTTACTTACTCTAAAAGCAGGATTTTAATAATAATTTGGAACTTAAAGATTTTTTTGCATCTTTATTTCATGAGTAGAGTTTTTTTCCTAAAAGTTTTGTAACTGGTAACTATAGATGTTCGCCCTTTTGCGGTAATAACTAAATCGGAGGCAACCCTATTAAAAACGTCGATACGGCTAGCCTCTATAAAGTTTAAAGTTTATAACTTATACGTAACAAAAACGAATTAGTTAAGTCGAGAATTCAGTGGTCTGCGAATTTCAGTACTAAATCAAGTTTTTTGCTAATAGACTTGTTTTTTAAATTTGATGGGCTGACTTTTGACCAATTATTAACAATTAGCTTCTGCCAGCGGCGTCGCCCGCTTTCGTGGAATAAAATATAGACTACTAGCGACCCGCCCCGGCTTCGCACGGGTGCAATATACATGTATTATACATACAAACCTACCTTAAGAATCACTCTATCTATTAAAAAAAAACCGCATCAAAATCCGTTGCGTAGTTTTAAAGATCTAAGCATACATACTTACGGACATACAGCGAAAGCGACTTTGTTTTATACTATGTATTGATTGATAATTTGCCATTGTTCCTTTCATCCCGATCCTTCCAGCCGTTTGACGTGAAGTTGTAACAAATAAACATACAAATTTGCGCATTTACGAAGTGTACATATGTAGTGTTATTGTAGTAAAAGTAATTTTGGGTGTTCAGTAAAACATTCCGGCATCTAATCCGGTATTATGATCGACATACATTGACCTAGTTATTTTATGAACACATTACGCTATTAAACATTCTAAGGATTCTGAAGTCTAAAGCTAATCTTGGATAATAAAAAGTGCGTGTCGTTCTGTCCTGTCAACTTGTAACCTTCGCAATCACGCGCAATCTGTTAGAGTCAACTAAAGGGAATTGGGGTCACAGTCTTTAGACGAGCATGTAGGCGATGTACTGGAATACTTGCTTACTATCTTTGAAGTCCGCCATCTTAAACTGCTACATATTTCTATTTCTTAAGCTTTCATTTTCATATGCAAACTAAAAGATTATTCATCTCACATCACCATGGGAGCTTGCTGAATCAAGGTGTGCGGATAACCATAAAGAAGACGAAAAGCTGAGTAAAGAGCATTTTAATAAAATGGTCACAAGTCTTTTAGATTAGGATCAACAAGTTACGCAATCATTTTATTCATCTTATAACTTTCACTTACAGTTTCAAAAATATTCTTCAAGTTGGAAAACCCCGCGGAGTAGAATTACCCGTACCGGTCACCGAGCAAGTCTCAAAATTGGAAAAGCCTGAGGAACCATCTTGGTTTGTAAATAAAAAATCCAAATTAAGTGATTAACATCAAAATTTGAGACATGTATTAGGCCGGAATCAAGCTAATTTGGAATAAAAGACATTTCTGTAGGCGTTATCGAGAACCATGAAGATGACGAACGATCGCGTGCTACTAACAATTTAGATACCTGCCTAGCTTCTTTATTGTTAACGCTACGCATCAAAAAAGCTTCAAGGCGCCTTTGATCAGATAATGGAATTATCACTTCGACCCAATTACATTCTGTTTCTATAAATCTTCGTCGGTTATAAATTGCAGCAAATGCTTCGTGGAACTCACTAAGATTCCCTAACGTAAGGCAACATTGATCGAAGTGCCCATAGTCATTCCAGGCAATTTTCATCTTTAAATTCTTATGTTTAGGGTGATATTTAGGGTGTAGAGTTGAGCAGGAAATTTTACCAGTTTTAATATGTCTGGAAGATGGATATTATCGTTAAGAAGTATTTGGGATCAGCTGTTTTAAATAGCCAACCGCGTCATAAAAGTTTTAGGGATATTGTTTCCAGCTTGCCCTTTTCCGAAGAACACAATACAATTTCTTTATAAAATGTAATGTTATAAAAATCTAAAGCGATTCTTACAAAGTATGTTGCTCGTTAGGGTCAACAGTTTTACTAGATATTTCAAGTTCGTATGTAAAATAATATCATTTTAATGATTCATACCAGGATCGGCCTATTACTTCACCATGCCTACGTGATATGTGTAATGGATAATTATGGTTAAAATGCTATAGCTAACTATAGTAAATGAATATTTTAATTCCCAGAAAGATGAAAAATTGTTCCCTAGAAACTTAAACTATTCATATTTTGTCGACTTTTATGGTCACGTATTCTCTAAAACTGTGGTTTCAAGTAACACGTGACACGTTTGCTTTTTAAGTCAATTACCTCGTTTAAATGAGAACCGACGATGGACTACGTGATAATAATTTCTAACATAAAGCCCTGTATTTAAATATACCCATTTTCTACGAAAGAAAATATCCATTTTAGGATTTTGCTGATGAATGTTTCTTCCCCCTGATTTGAATGTAATCTTTTTCTGCAGAATCAGAGCGACTGAATATAATAGCGTTTGGTCCAATGAATATTCATAGCAAAGCGGCGGACATGGCGTTATCTGCAAGGAAACGCATAAGATCTCTTGTTTCAAGGAAATTATTCATGTTTTAATTTATTATGTAATTAATGTGAGGCATCGTTGTTTGTTTGTGTGAAGGCTTTGCCCTCGCATACGTATTTCGGGGCTTAATATTTTAATGATAGTGCTATGCACCTATCCTTACACATTTTTTACGGTTCTTTTAACTAAGCATGAGTAATTATGTGCTAAATATCGTAGGTACTTAAGTATTAATTTCATAATTTGTTCATAACACGGAAAATTGTCCAAAAAATTAACAACTACCTATAAACACACAATACACGGCTTTATTTGCGTTTTTGAAAAGTAACTATAAGAATAGTGACGTCTGTTAAATAATAGATAATAGTAGTTTTACGCGTTGAAACCACCTCCATATCAAATTCCAATACTATCGGTCTATCACTGCAACCATATAAACGTGATTAATGCGTAACAAACTAGCAGATTGTTATTTTATTCTTGAATTTAGCTATGCAAGTTTTATATGACAGGACTGCTCTAGTAAATTAAACAGGAAAATTATCAGAATCATAGTGTCATAATGCCTACCTCACGATGATTTACTTCATGAATATCCTGTTGAGTACTTTTAGTCGTTTAATTAATACTATATCCAGAACAAGTGCCAATATTCAATTTTCCGGTTATTATTAATTTGGGTATTAATTGTCCATTATACAAGTTACTTTCGGTGGTAGTAGACATGAAATTGGTGTGATTTCTATAGTTAAAAATCTCATTTTAATTGAACCGTCTGTTCCCAACGCATTCATCGTTGAAGAAAAACAGTTAAACCAAAAAATACCGCAATAAAAAAGTTCTAAGTGAAGCGACCTGTTTGTGGGTCCTATGATTCATTCACCGGTCTTTTGGTTAGTCACATTTTGGTCGCGGTTTGTACGCTCGCTTAGCTTTCTTGTAAATATTTTAAAATCAATATTGAACATGAAAACATAGTGATAACTGCGGTTAAGTGATACGAGTGTTATAGTGATGGGTTTTGGCATCGACAAGATGAAGTTTAACTTTATGAAACGTAGTGGTTCTGACCCTAGTGTGTTTTTAAGGGGAGTTTTTAGGAGATTCAGGTTTGTATCCTTCAAAAAGTGTATTTTATTTGTGTTTGTCGTGTATTAATAATCGATTTTATTGCCATGACAAACGACGGCTATAGTGCTATACGATAGACAAAAGCATGGTATGTATTTTAATCTGTGGTTTATATTAAACAAGATAGGGATCTCCTTGAAGAGAACAGGTTTTAGCGTGTCCTGTGTTCTAGTGATAGTGCCGAACTTTGGGAAACTATTCAGTATTAAATAGTAACTATTGCTATGTTTATATTATAACTTTCGAGACATACTAAATTAACTATTATGTTATCGGCTTACTCACGTAACTGTTTGACGAGGAACTCGACTTGTTTCAAGCCATGCTAGGGGCTCATATTCATGGCAAGAGTAAGCCGAAAACATAATAATTAAGTAACTATTGCTATTGGGATATAGTTTTATTTTAAAATTAGGGCCGGATACTATTGTTCAAAGATTAAAAATTATCAATTTGATTTGGTTGATGAATTAGATAAATAAGTACGGAACAATGACAGGTTCTGTTTATCACTGCTAACTATGACTAACGTTGGATCCGGATATCAAATAATCTCCAGAAGTTTGTTTATAAGTACCTAAAAAAAATAAAATTAATTCAATCAGTTTCTGATTGATTGATTTGTACAGTTCGTCTTTTTAGCTTTTAAGTATACTAGGTTTCGATTCTCCAATCATATAGGTTATAATGGACTTTTCAGATGTCGAGATTCTCTCTAAAATCCAGAATTTGCTATCTAACTAAAATGTACTCGTAACAGTTACTAAAAATTGGGTGTTTAATTTATTTCGGCTTCTTTTTCTGTGGGAAAACCGCAAGCAATCCTCTGTAGTTAATGAGAGACGTACCTAATAAACAAAGTAATTTTGCTGTCAGGCTACAAGGCGAGTCCCATTTCATCTGAAGGAAAAAGCAAATCAAATTCGAATCCTACGCAATAAGCAATTGTGGCTAACTATATGGCCCATTGGCCTAATATCCTCGCCATTGTATAAAAACTAGTCCGTGTTTAGCTCTATTGTCGGACAAAGCAGGTGCCATGCCTTTTTACGGCCAGTTACATCTTGTATACAAATAAAATAAGCAAGCTATTTACGTAAAACTATGCACTTAGAAAATTTAGTTATGGTCGTGTTCTATTCTAAGGATTATGACCGTTAGCTCTTTGAAAAAATGGCGGCACCAACCGTTAAATATGAATTTGTATTGTGTTGTTTGTTTTCACATAATTATAACATTAATGACTAACCTACTTACATTGAAGGGGACAAAATTGTCTATAGACTGTTTTTGATAGATGTGTGATAATTATTAGTGTTGTCTATCAAGATTAGCTGATTGCCAGATACGTGTGGTGAAAGATTGATACAATAGTGGTGGAAGAACTCTTAAACATAAAATCCAATAACTATATATCATTCCACCTTCATTTTTTATATTGTTTTTTAATGTTTAATTTACATAAGTTGTTAATACTATAATTTGAAACTGCATAACGACTAGTTAGTGATGCCGATTTTCCTGGTCATTATAATCGATTGGAATATTTACCACTGGTTTTGCCTACTGCATCGAAAATACCTATACGTATATGAATCTAATAGTTAGGTACACTGCAAAGGGCAATGATTTTACTTATAAGTAAAAGGTGCAAATAGGTTATACGCGCTAAGTAAGTAGCACGTTAAAGTGTCGCTAACTAGCCTCATTTTACCCCAAAGTCGCGTTGTTGTATGTGCGTGTTAGTGTACTATTTTTTAAGATCGAATATTTGTACCTAAAGGTAGAGAGTCATTGAAAGATAATTGAAGCTCAATAGAGAGCTGGCTATGCTCGCAATCGGTGGTTTTGATGAAATAAAAAATATAGCCACCATTGCTTTTCTGATACCCTGAAAAAGCAGCCAAAACAAAAGACAACTGCAGTTTGTTTTCTAATTACCTGAGAATGTTAGTTCATGAATTCGAAAATAGTTACTTCCATTACAAATGACGTAATACTTGAACATTTAATTATCTGATTCAAACTCATTGAACATAATCTAAGGACACCGGAAGATTATAAAATTTTCTCTCAAGGTCTAAAGCAGTTCCTCAAATGATATGAATTCAAGTTAAATAATATAATTAAGTCGGTATGTTGGTATAGATTTTTGTGATGCTCTTCATTATTCAGTAATAGTTTGTTTTTATACATTGAATTACGTGTAATAATAGTGCAGACTTTGCTAAAGCGTTTGCAACAGTATAGTGAAAAGTTGATCGGTTTTGTTATCTTGTTGAATACTGACTAACTGTGTCTGTCATTTGTGTATAATTACTATTGATATTTATATTATTAAATATTGTACACATTTTGTGTCAGTATCTGTGCTTGAAGAGACGCGTTGTAGTGTATTGCTTTGGTTTTCGTAAAATGTACCTGTTCTATTTGTTACTACCTCGATTTAATTATTCCTATAGTTACCTAGGTTTTACATTTAGGGAAATTTCACGTCATTTATATATTCTTACTTAAAGTCATTGTTCTTTCATTTGCCATAGTTTTAAATCATTTACCTCATTGTGTTTTCCTAATAATTGAACTGCTGAACATATTACAGTATGGGAATACCAGCAAACTAAATAATCCAAGTTAATTTTACTTCAATGTTCTAATCACGTCTAAAACCGACGAAATACAACAAAACAAATTGATTATCATATAACCGTTTTGCATTTCCTTGGACCAATTCGCATATCTAATCAGAAATTATCTTATCTCTTTTCTGTTGTTAGAATTGTACGCAAACTTCATTCAACCTAGCGTCTGTACACACCGGTGAGACCTGTTGAATTTTAGTGTCATTTTGAACATGGTTCCCAGTGCGTACCATCCTGTCAATATTGCTTGTGAGTGCTACGTGAGTCACGATTCCACAATTTTAAACTTACATTTAGTTTCATCGTCATTTCATTGTAGTGTTTGATGTTATTATGACCAGTACAATGAGTGACAGTGAGAGAACAGTGCAGTGCTGCAATTACAAAAACAGTTTCGATTTAAATATTAGCGATGTTAGGTACAGCTTCCAAAGGAGTTGGGTTAAAACTAAAAAGTTTAGTCACAGAGTTTTTGGAGCTAACAGGTGAGTGAACTTAGAATTAGAGCAAAAAGTTGGTTCTGCCGGATGCTTGTGGTTCTTATTATTTTTTATGATCTGACGATATAACCGATCATGGATTTGTAAATCCATCCACTGTTTGAAAACAAATTAACACAAGCGAATCGGCATTAAAACCATCAAGTATAACAATCGAGAACTCTAGAGATTGTTGTAGTTAACTGGTTTGTGACGTACATACATGCCAGTTAGTATGTTATTGTTTATGTCTCACATACTGCCGTATGACTCATAGGCCAGTTCGAACCTCAATATTTCGTTATTGACCAAGTGTTATACGTATCTTCAATCAGGTTATTCTACCGTTGACTTATTAGGTTGAGAGAAAGTTGTCTTTTGTTACCTACTCCACAAGTGCCTAATAATCTAACATTGTAAATTCTCTTTTGATATTATTCTTCATTAATTTTTGGGCCTATATGTTAGAGACGCTGTTATGAATTTGATACATTTAGTTTCGAAACTTTTATACCTACTATAGTTACGGTGAAAGTGTAAAGAGGGAGTCGGTTTTAATTGCACGAAAACAGTTGGTATCCATTAAAACTTGGTGTTTAGGTCATTTACCACAAAACCTAACGCATGATCAAGGAAAATAATAATGTATTGTTTAATGTATTATTCTTAAGCCTACGATTTTATTATGTCATTAAATAAAGAAGGTACGAGACTTATAGCTTCATAGTTAATTAAACGGCTTCGCAAATATTTAAATTTCCACAAAAAGTCAACGTAATTTTGAGTTTATTTCAGTATTTGTGTTCTTATCGGCATTGTGGCCTGATTTCAATTTGTTTTGTTTTTAACATTATCTTGAGCCATGCTCTTTAAATCTACATAGCGACAGATGTTGCGACATTCAAAGTTTAAGTTGTCTTCATGGTCCGTCAAATTGGCAAAGTTTGACGTTACGCTTGCCTCCACTCTCGGTTTGCAAATGACTGTTGCTGTAACGGGACCAACTGATTATTTATTTGCGTGACTGACTAATAAGACTATAGATACATAGTGTATTGTTTATTTGTTTAACATGTTACTTCTTACTGTTACAAACCTGTACCATTTGCACACACTATCTCTAAATTCTCTAACAGAGTCAAGTGAAATTATTGTCATTACCGTTATCACTACAAATAATGGATAATGTTGTGATACAAAGACATAATTAGATTGTTAGTAATGAAATTATCAATTTATGAATTACTCATCAATATTAAGTACTTCTGCACGTATTCGTAACACTTGGTCGTCGTTATCCAAAGCTTCGGCTTGTATAGCTGAGTTTGCGAATCCAAAAGTTGCTATCTACTTTTATCCCCCCTCTTCAAGAGCCCTTGGTATTAAGGACTGATCTTGAAATAATTTTCAAAGGTATATTTGGAGCAATTTATCATCGTGTTATTCTATTTTCTCATTAGAATCGAGATTCTCCTTTTATTGATCTTGTTTCTGATAACCTTAGACGAGGGCATTAAAAAAGGTATATTTAAAATTCGCGGAATTCTAAACATAATAGCGATAATAACAACAAAATGTTTATCGATTTCCATCCCAAACTTATCATTAGCAGTGGTCAAATCGATTTAAGAACTCGTTCGCTTGTTCGGTGACTCAAGAGGCTTTGATTCTTGGAAAAACCGGACAGGCCCAACGCACGTTGCCTTTGACGGCTCCAACACGTAACTTCCGGTTCTTGGAATACCCATATCCATATACTGGTAATTTTTGCATATCTCTCACAGTCTCTTTCCAGTTTTATCATTATGAACTTTGAGACTATAGCTATTCAGTATAGTTTCGCAGAGAAGCAAATACACACACGGGGTTTCAAAGTAATGGGTTTTTACGTTGACCTTGACATTATTTTTTTTATTTCATTTGCAATCGCGTGTTTATGTGACTTTATTTCATAATTTATGGTTTATGTTGGTTAAGAATGTCCGATAACTCATTAACGTTACGGATTTTAAGCTCGTCCTTGCCTGTCCTGGAATTCGTATACACACCTCAGTTTTCTACCTGATTGTCTGTTTGCCTCTTTTAGTTTTTGTTTATTTCAGGTTTCTTTTTGTATTCTGGGTTTATGAGTCTGTTGGGTTGGATTTCTGCAAATCCTTATGTAGATTACTCTCTATTCTTTCTTCTTTTTAGTCGTTTCCACTTCATACCTCCCATTTATTTATTTACCTTAACTCGTCGAGTACCGTCATTATAGACAATTATAGAACAATAGGTTGCGGTCACCGGTGACCGCTTGGTGTTTGACATTTTAAATTATATCGTGAACTAATGAAATATCAATTATAACAGTACCCAAATTAAGGTATGATTATAATCCTGCATAAATACTTATTCTAACAAAATCTAATGCGATAATGTCTACGTTTTTATCTTAAGTTCGCATGACACAAAAAAATCTAAACAAAATGTTTGTACAGCTATTACGCAAATTGTACCGTTTGTGCCATTCTCATAATTGTTTATTTGGCACTAACGGTTGACCCGTAAACTTATATTCGTACATACCTAATTACTACCCATCTGTTACTTTTTTATATCTCAGCTCTATGCTTAATTGGGCAAAAAATTGCCCATTAGAGCTTGATTTCTGGTGTTATAAAAATTGAGATTGATTTATTTAATGTTGACAATATTTATTGAGCATGTGGGCTTGATAGTGACAAGGACTAATGACAATGTAATGTTTTGTTTCAACGTTGTTTACATGTGTCTTTTTTTAGAGTATAGAAACTTTCTATTGAGGTCTTCCAAAAATTAGGCATAGCAAGATATAAATAGCCATTTTCTGATTTGTGAACTGTGTGTTATCTTTTTGGATTGATTCTTTTTAAATAGGTTTCTTGCCTTCACCATTTATATAGTTATCATTAAAATATTCCATATCATGATATAAAACATTAACGACTTAATGCTTTATGACCAGTTTTAGTGAAAATACTCCTAGAATACCTTATGGCTGTATTGCAAATGCCCTTCATTAAAATGCAAGTATCGTTATTGTACTTACATCTCAAGCTATTTACAATTAGTGCCAAGGAAATATGAACCTTTTGCGTCACAGTTTTACAGTTGTGTTATGCTTGAACGTCTGATGAACCGTAAAGTGCATGGTTCGATGACCGCACCTGGTGAGTTCAAGGACGGTGTAATGATTTTATGTCCTGTTGACAAACCAATTGAATAATAATTAATGTTTGTTTACCGATACTTTATCAGGTATATGAGGCCTGCCGTACTCGGAAGCGTTAATAAAAATATCTTATCACGGTTTTTGGGAACATTGTGATTATAAAATGTACTGAATATATCGTACGTGAAATATTTTCTTTAAATCGTTACATATTAGATAGGGTACTTTGTTTTTTTCCGTATTTCAATAACAATAAAATATCGAATGAAACGTGTTAATATAGAAGTAATGACGTACGAAGTACGACGTAAATGATAGAATGGTATTTCCAAAACGTGTTTATGAATGGCTGTCTTTCTAATAGCGAAATTGTATGACGCGGTCGCTAATTTCGACAGCGCTTTCATGGCAGTCGTGGCCGAGCGGTTAAGGCGTCTGACTAGAAATCAGATTCCCTCTGGGAGCGTAGGTTCGAATCCTACCGACTGCGAATTCTTTTTGTACGTTTTTTAATTTATTTTTTCGTTTGTTACAGCTTGCGTCGGGGTGCGGGTGTGAATGTACAGGATGATAACGGTTATACACCACTTCATCAAGCATGTTTGAATGGACATCGGTAAGTTTTGTTATTAATTCGACTTATATTTAAATAAAATTCACTTTTTGTACAAATTTCATGATTTTTTTTCATATAAAAATGTAATTGGGTTCTGAAACAAAGGATTTTTGTTTGTTTTAACACTTTTTCCTTCACAATAGTAATACTTATTTATATAAAGTCGACTTTGGACGTTGTTAAGTGACGTCAGAGGAGCAGACAACCGCAAACAAATGTTATATGGGAAAATCTATTTGATTTACCATTGTGATTCATGCACGCAAGTGCAAAATATGAACATATACCACAATAAAATACCGTTTTTACTAAATAATACCATTTTTTACTGGTTGGTTGTGTATAAATGAAATAAATAATCAAATATTTTACATTTTATATTGCTATATTAATCGATTAATTAATGAATAACTCAAAAATAAGTAAATAAATGTTACTAATTGATGACGTCAAGTTTTATGATGGCATATTAA